CATAAACAGAAAAGAGAAGAAAAAAGAGAAGAAAAAAAATGAAGGAAGCCTCTTGAGTTTCTAGCTGCCAATAATACCTGGCACAATAATAATGTATGGGATCCCTCAGTGAGCAAAAAGAAGATTTTTTTTTAAAAAAACGAGTAAAAAACACGACCACAGCCATTTCACCAAAACAAAAAACGGTAACCACAAGCCGGAACAAGTATCCAGCAGGGAAAACCAATCGTTTGCCTGTGCGTGGAGGCTCCTAAAAGCATTTGTTGTGCACAATACTCGGACCGGCCTCGTCATACTCACTCTTCTTGATCCACATGGTCTGGAATGTCGTGAGGGATGACAGGATGGAGCCACCAATCCATACGCTGTACTTCCGCTCCGGTGGTGCAACCACCTTCGGTTTGATGGAAGAGGGCGCAAGGTTGCTGATCTCCTTTCCAAGACGCTCAGGAAGGTTCTTGAACATGGTGGTCCCGCCAGAAAGTACAATGTTCCCGTACAGGTCACGACGCACGTCGATATCACACTTGTTGATGGACTGGAAGGTCATCTCATGGAACCCAGGAGCTTCATCGAGACCAATCAGCATGGGCTTAAAGACCGCCTCGGGGCATCGGAAGCGCTGGTTACCCACCTGCATGACTGTGCCGTCTGGCAGCTCAAACGGCTCCTCGTTAACAGCCTTGGCACTATTTGTCATTTCCTCATCAAAGTCCAGAGCAACATAGCACAGTTGTTCCTTCACGCTCCGCACAATCTCCTTCTCAGCGGAAGTGGTGAACGTCATTCCATTTTCCATCAAAAGCTTCATTAGATACTCAGTGAGGTCCCGACCAGCCATATCAACGCGGCGAATGGCATGCGGAAGAGAGTAACCTTCGTAAATAGGGACGGTGTGGGTCACACCATCACCAGCATCAAGCACGATGCCAGTGGTTCGCCCAGACGAGTAGAGCGAGAGCACGGCCTGAATGCCAACATACATGGCAGGGACACCGAAGGTCTCGAACATGATCTGCGTCATCTTTTCACGGTTTTGTTTGGGGTTCATGGGGGCCTCTGTCAGTAGCACATTATGCGACTCGGGATTGACGCGCAGCTCATTGTAGAAGGTGTGGTGCCAGATCTTCTCCATGTCATCCCAGTTGGTGACAATACCGTGCTCAATGGGATACTTGAGTGAGAGTACACCACGCTTTGCTTGAGCCTCATCACCAACGAACAGCTTTTTGCTTGCGCTTCCCATCATTGCCTGCTCGTTTTTTGGCCGGCCAACAATGGACGGGAACACGTGGCGCGGTGCATCATCGCCGGAGAATCCGGCCTTCACCATGCCGGAGCCGTTGTCACAGACGATGGCAGATTGCTCTTCGTCAGACATCGTTAGAAACAGAAACGCGATAGAAACAATATCCCCAATCAAGCTTTTTATTGTTTGCTTGTGATGCAAGAAGGAAGAGAAAAAAAACTCAGAAGAAAGATGAAGATATGCACACCATGAGAGCAAGCACCACACAACACAGACCATGCAACACATACCTCCATGCCATCAAAACCCGGGCATTGAACTTCCTATCAGCTGGACTGCTCACATAAACAGAAAAGAGAAGAAAAAAAGAGAAGAAAAAAAAATGAAGGAAGCCTCTTGAGTTTCTAGCTGCCAATAATACCTGGCACAATAATAATGTATGGGATCCCTCAGTGAGCAAAAAGAAGATTTTTTTTTAAAAAAACGAGTAAAAAACACGACCACAGCCATTTCACCAAAACAAAAAACGGTAACCACAAGCCGGAACAAGTATCCAGCAGGGAAAACCAATCGTTTGCCTGTGCGTGGAGGCTCCTAAAAGCATTTGTTGTGCACAATACTCGGACCGGCCTCGTCATACTCACTCTTCTTGATCCACATGGTCTGGAATGTCGTGAGGGATGACAGGATGGAGCCACCAATCCATACGCTGTACTTCCGCTCCGGTGGTGCAACCACCTTCGGTTTGATGGAAGAGGGCGCAAGGTTGCTGATCTCCTTTCCAAGACGCTCAGGAAGGTTCTTGAACATGGTGGTCCCGCC